TAACACTACCAAGAGAGTGTGATGCTCCAGTGAGGCCCAGAACGCAGGTGAAGACTTATAAAGTCCAGGTACCAATCAGGTAACGAGCTGAAATTCAGTCAGTATGTTAAGACCAAAGAACTGACTGTAGCTCAGCTGAATAACCCAATCTGCCTAATGTCATCACAATAAATTAAAAAATGAAGGAGACGTTTTTAGAAGGATGAATGCCAAACAAAACAAAACAATACAAAAACTCAAACCATGCAAAAATAGTTACGCTGTAAGCCTGATAAGGTTTAGATTCATGTTAAGAGCATGGATGAAGAGGCCTACTTGAAAAAAGAAGGTGAGTCAGACGTATTGGGTACGCTTTAACAGCTGAATAGCTTGTTGTATGCTCTGTGCCCAATAGAACATTTGAGAACTCATATTTTGCATTGTCCTTGTGAATTTCATGGAAAAATAGCTTAACTCAGTGGAGAATGCAGAGCAGATTGGACTTTGTGTGAAAGAGTCTCTGCCCTACAGATAGAAGTTAAAGAGTATTTGTGCTGTAAATGAAAACTTGTATTTTACTCTTTTTTGTGTGTGAAAACACTCTTCCCATCCCTTTCTGTGACTCTGACACTGGTTATTCTTTAGATCAAGAAGAAATCAAATTGCTTTGCCTCTCAGCACACAGGTCTTCAGTTATTTGCTTTCAGTTAGTCATAAATCATTTTGACCTTTTATATTTGCTGGACCAATTTATTTTTTGTACCAGTAGTTTCAAATGAAAGAAGTATTTTACAGTCTCATATCCTGTATAGCTTTCTCACTCATACTTATTTGCTGGTTCCTCGTATCTCTGCCATCAGTTTCTGCCATCTCYCTGCTGATTTGCTCTGTGCGTTTACGAAAGAGGAAAACAGAGAAACAACAGGAGACAATCCTGACACATGGACCCAGTTCCTTAATAATGTCCTTCTCTGTGAACGCTATTAGCAGATTACCCTTGGCCCAGGGCAGCCTAACCATGTGCAGGAACTAGATAACCTTGTGTTCGGTAATTTAATATCAACATTTCCCCTCTTTTCTTATCGCGCTTTACAATGCGCAAATACACTTCTTGTCCCCTCTGGTTCTATTTCTTAAAAAGAGGAGGAAGGAGAGGGTGGGCTATAAATGATTGTGTGTGTGTGTGTGTTGGTGTGTGTGTTGGTGGGGRTTACAAGAAAGTGATTTCTGGAAAACGCTGTTCTTTGAACTGTGTCACATCAAAGCTGTTGCTTTAAATTAAAGTAAAGTGATAGTTGAGATTTGTGTGAAAATATCTTACCTGCTGTAGATAGCTTTTGAAAAGTTAAATTCTGACCAGATTTGTGAACTAACAGCTGGTCCAAGTAGGGCCAATCCCAATCCCACCAAAAATAAATTGCAGTGCTCTTGAAAGCATCAGTTTTTAACCTTTAGTTTTTAACATGAACACCTTAGCTTTTCTAATTAATTTGCTTTAGAATTTTATTTACATAAAACTTTAGTTGTTTGCAAGTTCAATAATTTGACTGGAAAATCACGAATGATTTGAGTTTGGAGTGTTTAAAGACTGCGCCAATCCACTTTGATCTGCCCAGACTAGCCATTAGCTCATTAAAATGGTGAGAAAGAGAGCTTGTTTGAAAACCCTGCTTCCAACTTGAACAACTCCTTTAAGCTCAGAACATCTTGAAAAAACAAATATCATTTTCTGTTTTTGTAGTTGTTGTCCTTGCAGGCTCCCATACACCAAACTCTGACCACATATCAGGCTAATATTGCAAGCAAAAATACAACGTCCTGTTTGATTTTGTTGAAGAGAGGCGAGGGCAGACAGGAAGGTGAAGAGAAAGCAAGCAGTTAAAAAATATCAGATCCTCTCCTCTATCCTTCCTAAGATGAATCACAGCCTCTGAATTAGTGTCTGCATCACACTCCTGCTGCTGCTCCTCTTCCCCCTGGCGCCCGCGAGCCAGGCGTCGGCGTGAGGGCCAGGCGGCACAGCCCTATCACTCACCAGCACTCACTCGCATCGACATTACCACGCCTTTATCTCATCTCCCGCAGCCCGCCACGGACAGCCGCCTCTGGGTCCTCCAGGCTACTTTACTAATAAACTACTCCTTATCAGTCACTGTGCACCTCTGCCTGTGATCAAARAGCCAATTAATGGAGCGAAGAAAGGTGAAGCATTCAAATAATGGAGACAGCTGTTTTTCTCTGTTTGAGAAAATCCATTTTGTATTGTTATCAGCTTCAAGCAGCACCCCCCTTTTCAAAGTAGCGCTTAATTCAAGTCGGCATCTGCCTCTGCCTGGTTTGATAAGAGAGGGAGAAAAGGGTTCGGAGCGAAGAAAAGGAAGACGAGGCAGAGAAATAGAAAAGCGCCGTGGTCACAATGAACTTTATGTGGAAGAATGTGGCAGCAATATCACAGCAGTCCAACTCATCCCCGAGCTTTATCGCTTCTAAAGTGGTTCAACACCGAGATAAGGGTAGGGGATGGGGGTCATAAAACGGGCTGTGCTTCAGAGCTGACGAGCTGCTTTGTGGCCTCRCTGTCATTCGTTTTGAAAGGGAGCTGCTGATTCCAGCTCTTTGAGGTCCATTACAATCTTGTCAGGCCAAAAGGTTAGTTAGGAGGGTTAATTGTAAGCGTGTCAAAGCAGCACATAGCTACTGTGTCCCATCAGAGGCTGATTTCTGAACTTCCCTTTAATTCTAATRGTTCATTCAGTCACTATGTTTGGTGAGGGTTTTCAGCAAAAGTTGGTGTTGCAGGTATTTAGCCTTTCAATCTGCTAAGAGATTATATATCACATGCTAGTGCTAATTATTTTTTTCATATTCTCAGAGGCGGAGCCAGAATGGTGGTCGGGGTTCAAGTAATTGAATTAAATTAAGTGCGTGGGGATCTTAGATTGTATATTTGGATTTAGATTTCTTTTAACGATTGTCTCTCATACTACTGTACAATATACGTAAATGTTTTAGCTGTGTATGTTTAAAAATGACATAATTATGGCCCTTTGCGAAATTAGCATTAGCATTAGCAGTTTGGGATTAGGATCGGTAACAATCATTAGCTACTCCACAACAAATTTTATTTCATTAAATCTTAAAATGGTCTTAACAAAACGCTCYATGAGTAGAGTTTATTCTCTGCTCAGCTCATTTTCTGACTCCAATTTAGATTCTTTGAAGGGCAAGTGGGAGATGGACTTGGAGGAATCCACATCAGACACATTTTGGCAAAAAAATTATTCAAAATATATATTCGTCCTCAATATGTGTGAAACATGTTATAGTTCAATTCAAGGTAGTACATCGTCTACACTGGTCTAAGGACAGATTGTGCAAATTCAAAAAGGACTTGGATCCAGCGTGTGATCGCTGTGGACAATCCCCTGCCACACTTCTACACACATTCTGGTCCTGTCCAAAGCTACATGGWTACTGGCAAGGCATCTTTGACACCTTTTCAGGACTATTTGGACGAACTGTTCATCCATCACCACTCATCTCTCTTTTTGGGGTGGCTCCAGCAGAAGCTTCCTTCAGTGAACATCAGAGGACGGTGTTAGCTTTCTGCTCTGGCTAGAAGACTTATTCTTCTTYGATGGAAGGATCCACATCCTCCAGTATATGGTCATTGGTTAAGAGAAGTTATGTCTTACATTCATTTAGAGAAGATTAGATATACTGTTAGGGGATCTGTAAACAAATTCTTTGACATCTGGCAGCCATTTATATCGTACGTAGAAAAAAATTTCAGCAGATAATTTTGTGTAAAGGTCAAATATTGTTTCATGTGCACAAACCTGTTCATTGTATCACTGATTTATGAATACAAGATGGTTTTATGTTGTTGCAGTAGATCCGGTATAGGAGGGGAGGGATGGGAGGGATTTTGGGTGTGTGTGTTTTGTTTTATGTTCTTGTTAGTTTGTTTTTTTCTGTAGTTTGTG